AGTTCTGGAGGCGTGGAAGCCCCGGGATAGAGTCTGGAGTCTGGAGGATAGAGCTTCTTCAGAAACCTCCGAGCTGCTTTCCAAAGAGTCTATGTATTATCACACGCCTGCCGGCTGCCAAGGTCCAGTCCGACCATGTTCCTGCCAACACGTGTGTTTTTTATGGTGCCTGTCTAGCGTGAGTTGCACTTTGTTGATGGCTAGTGGTACTAAGTGTCTTCTCATGTGTTTAGTGGACATCTTTAAAAGAGGTTTATGGTTTGGTTTGACTTTTCTTTTTTTGAGACAGGGTCTCATTGTGTAGCCCAAAGTGACTTCAAACTCCGTGTCTTGCCAGCTTCAGCTGAGATTACAGGCATGTGCTACTTCACCCAGCTTATCAGGGATGTTTTATAATAAAAAATGTATTTATTTTGTGTAGGGGGTTATATGTGTGTACGTGTTCATGAGTGTGCATGTGGGGGGTATATGTGTATACATGTTCATGAATGTGCATGTGGGGGTGTATGTATATACGTGTTCATGAGTGTGCATGTGGGAGGTATATGTGTATACATGTTCATTAGTGTGCATATGGTGACCAGAGATCAATGTCTAGTTTCTTCCTTGTTAGTTTCTCACCTTATTTTTTTAAATAATTGTAACATGACGGCCAGCTTGTTGGGGTTTCTGTCCCGCCCAGTACCCCACAGCCAGCAAATCCCAAAGAGAAATCACACACAGGACTCCATAAGGTTATAAACTGATTGGCCCATTAGGTCAGGCTTCTTGTTAACTCTTATAACTTATGTTACCCCATTATCCTTATCTAAATTAGCCACATGGCTCCGTACCTTTCTCAGCTGGGCAAGTTACATGCTGCCTCTTCGGTGGTCTGCGCAGGAGTGGAGAGAGATCTTCCTGTGTCCCAGAATACTCCCAGTCTCTTTACTCCACCCCTACTTCCTGTCTGGCTTTCCCGCCTATACTGCCTGCCTGGCCAATCAGCATTTTATTAAAATATGATTGACAGAATACAGACAATTCTCCCACACCAAATAATGTCTGGTTCTTTGGATGGTCCACACATTTATACAAGGTCCATTGATCACAACAGCCCATCACTGCCTCCCCCTAACTCCTTCCAGTGCCCTCACTCTGTGTCTCTCCCAGTGCCCTCACTCTGTGTCTCTCCCAGCTTCATGTCTTTTTATTTTTTTATTAATAACCCCCCGAGTCTAATCTGTGCTGCCCGAATGCACATCTACCCCATCTTTTTGCAACATGGTCTCCCACTCAATCTGGAGCTCTCCAGTTAGGCTAGATGGTTGGCCAGCAAGCCAGGGACCGTCCTGTCTCCACCTCCCAAGTTCTGGGATTGCAGGTGTTCACTGATTTATGTGTGTGCCAGGGATCAAACTCAGGTCCTCATGCTTATATGGCAAACGTTTTACTGACTGAGCCATCTCTTCAGCCCCCTCGTCAGGAATTTTATATGTTCTTTGAAAAATATCTATTCAACTTCTTTGACCATTCTTTAAATTGTTTACTTTCTTTTCCTCTATTATTGAGTCCCATGAGAAACTCATGCATTCTGGATATTGTACTCTTATCAGATATGTGATTTAAAGGCATTTCTCCCATTCTGTCTCTTTGCCAGTGTCCTTTGAAGAACAAATGTTTTTAATTTTGGTGAAGTCCATCCAGTGGATTTATTTTTTCTTCTGTTGCTCATTGTTTTGTGTCATATCTAAGAAACCATTGCCTAATCCAGAGTCTGAAGATTTATGTCTATACTTTCTTCTAAGAATTTTATAGTTTTAGCTTTTACATTTTGGTCTTTGATCCTCTGTGAGTTAATATTTATGTACACTGTGAGGTCATATGCTGTTTTTGAAAACAAGTTCAAGCGATAAATAACTGAGTTTTAAAAGATGTAGCTCTCTTTGATTTTAACTGAAGATTCTGTGAGACTTTTTCAATGTAGCCTTTAATGGAAAGAAAATAAACTTTGAGCCCTAATAAGGCTGACGTGGTCACAATGTACTTTAAAAAGTCGATGAGCTAAGAATCTCTAGAAAATACTTTTGAAATTTTGGTTTTTAAAGCTCAACTTCTTTCATTAAATATTTAACTTAATGAAACCATGTTTTAATATGTTGTGTAACTAATATTCTTACACACATTAAAACCACCTTTCCTTCCATAGTCAATGACCTTGCTTTAATGCAGTGGTTCTCAGCCAGGGCAGTGCTCCCCCGGAGAAGACTTGGTAGTGTTCGGAGACGGTTTTCGGTGTCACAGGGCTTCTGACCTCTGAAGGGGTAGAAACCAGAGCTACCATTACCAGTGCATCCGATCAGCTGACATGACCCTGTTATCCAGATTAGTACACCATAATGTCAAGGTTGAGAAACTACCCCGGCTAAGCCAGGGTCCTCTGCAGCAAGGTCTGAGGTGATGAGAGTTTGAAACCCCTTTTCAACCTCATGGGTTTCTTTCATTACAATACTGAGCCCCAACCTCTTTCTGTCATTAAAATCTTCTATGGTACCCTGGTGAGGTGGCACACATCTGTAATTGTAATAGAGAGGAGGCTGAAGAAGGATGAGAAATTGGGGACCTCTTTTGGCTACAGAATGATACCCTGCTTTTGAAAGAGAGAGAGAGAGAGAGAGAGAGAGAGAGAGAAATCAAATAAACCAGAAAGAATTTTGAAACCCTTTATGGAGATGAAAATTCCATGCCCCTTGAGGGGACCATTGGGCGCTTACCTTCAGGGGTTAACTCATTTCATATTTGTGTATCTGGGGTTTACATGTTGAATGACTGACCTCCTGCTAATATGTATGTATTATGTATCTGTTCTGTGTATCTTATCTGATAATAGAACTGTGGGAAGCTATCACTTGGGGGTGTTTAATATATCAGTGCTGCTGAGATGGCTCAGTGGCTAAGAGCACTGACTGCCCTTCCGGAGGAGCTGGGTCCTCCGAAATTTCCAGCACCTACACGGCAGCTCACAACTATCTGTAACTCCAGTTCCAGGGGGTTTGCACCCTCACATACAGGTCAAACACCAATGCACATAAAATACATACATAATTAGTATATCAGTACTGGCCAATCTTTCACATTACTTAATTTTAACTTCCCCCAAATATGTAAGAGACAGCCATCATCATCATTATCACTCACATTATGTAACCATAGAAGCCATAACATACAGGGTTAGGGAGGCTTGGTGAATGCCATTCTGTTGTTCCACCATTAGTCCATGACAGGGCTTAGACTTGATGTGGCCTCACATCACAAAGCAGGTGGGTCAGCCACTATGGATAGCAGGGGTCACCCACTATGGATAGCCACAGATAGACATGGCAGGCAGTAAAATGTACCCTTACCCACTAAGCCACAAGAGCCCTGCCATGGGCTAGAAGGGGTAGACCCCCGCATCTAGCTTTAGGAAGCGCCATATGATCTGTACCTGCCTGCAGAAGCATGGCTCGCCCACCAGCACCTCCGCAGTGGATGCTGTCTGTGAACCACTGTGACTCTCACGGCATCCTTTGGATTCCCTCAGATCAGTTCATGTTTGTTCTTCTGCCCGCTGGTCCTCTTATAAAAGACCCCAGATCCCAATGTCTCTGCTGGCCTCTGGCCTGTGTTTATTTGCACATACCCCAGCCCCCACCTTTGAACCCCTTGTCCCCAAGTCTTGCAAACTGTAGACCCTTGTGACCCAATGTGAGGCCACACCCTGCTCCTGTTGAAACCACAGCAGGGGGAAGCTGGGGGGAAGCTCTTCATGAGCAGCCATCGCTATTAGCCAGTGGTGTCTCTCTCCCAAGCTTCACCCCTGTGGGCATGCCAGTCCCGTGTGCCCCTCACCCTCTCCTCAAGAGGTCTTCAGGAAAGGATCCGGCGTGGTGTGAGTGACAAGGAGTAAGCACTTCAAGGGAACCCATACTTGAGATAGGAGTGACACCAATTTGGTCAATTTGGGGGTGCAGCTAAGATTGCATGCCTGCCTCTGAGGCATCCCCTTCTAGCTCTCTAAATGTAAGGTGCACAGACTGCATGAGAGTTAGGAAGTTTGCCTCTCCCCAGAATCTAAGGGAATACCCTGGGTTTGTGCATGAGCTAGCCCTGAAACTCCTTGGGCAGTCTTTCTGTGTTCTGGGCCTCAGTTTCCCCTTGAAGGGAGGGTTACATAAAAACTGGTCTCTATGCATCCTTGAAGCTCTCATTATCTTTGGTTCTTGAAGTGCCAGGGGCTGACTTAGGTGAAACCCATTTGAGTGATTGAAATCCCCCTAAGTAGGAATCGACTTTGGTAGTGAGCCCACACCTAGAAGTCTCCCCATGCTTGAAGAAGAGAACGGAGCAATTGGGTGATGCTGTCATTCTTGAGAGACCCATCTCCAGAGGCAGCATTTAAAACACTTAGCAATCAGTTCTCAGGAGCACAGCCCTACCAGACCCCAGAGGCCATAGGGACTGTGCACTGTGTGCGCCTTAGCTGCCTTGTCGTTCTGTCAAGCCTTTCTCAGGCTTGTTGGGGTGGGGGGATTCCCTCTTTGAGTCCTCTTCCATCCAAGACCCTACCAAGCTCCCTTGGCTTCTGTCTCTGATCACTTACCACGCTATAACAATATAATTTTGTATCCAAGTACTGAGTTCCAAGAATCTCTCTATGTTCAGCCTATGTTGGTTACCCTATTGGTTAACACCATACATTTAAAAAGGTTACTGGTAGTGACACCAGAGGACTGAGCCCCACAGCTCCTCTCTGCCCCTTAAGTGCTGTGTGGCCTGGGACAAGTCCCAGCCCTTCTCCAGCTTTCTGGTTCCTTACATAGAAAAGGAAAGGACTTGGCTGGATTCTCCAGCTCTGAGGCCCCCACTAGTCTGTGTTGTGTTTCTGGAGAATTGCGTATCTATAGCTGCTGACTGCTCTCTCTTTCTTTCTCTCTCTCCTTCTCTCTCCCTCTCTCTCTCACCCACCATCCTCATCTTAGAATGCACTGCTCCCCGCAGGCCTGAGGCAGAAGGATCAGACCACCAAGGCGCCCACAGGCCCCTTTAAAAGAGAGGAGCTTTTGGATCACTTGGAAAAGCAAGCGAAGGAATTTAAGGATCGAGAAGACCTGGTTCCCTACACAGGGGAGAAACGAGGTACTAAACAACACAGCTCTCATGAGCTTGTCCTTCCTGAGACATCACAGAGGACCACTTGTGTGTCCTACCCTGTGTTGGGCCAAATGTACCCGGGCCTCTCTTGTGTCCTTCCTGCCTGAACAGTAAACAGTCCGTTACCCCAAAGCATCATCTGTGGTGTTATATTCAATCAGCTGGGGATGGTTTGAGGAAAAAGACTCACCCAGACAACCAGAATGTCTCCCCAGATCCTCTTTAACTAGGGCGTATTGCTTATTTTTCATCAACACCTAGATACTTGTAAGGGAAATAGAAAGCTATTGCTAATGACATCAGAATATGAGACCTAAACAAGGACCATTCTGTGGAAACGAGGAGCAAGGTACATCGCCCAGCTCCCTCTGTCCTGACTCTGCTTTCTTTAAAGTCTCTTTTTCTGGCCCTGGCTACAGCCTTCCTTCATCTCTTCTCCCGAGACTGTCTGCTCCAGCAAAAACAAGCCTTCTTGGATGGCACACTCTCTACTCTCTGCCCGGTTAGCTGTAGAATCTGTGGACCAGAAGGATAATGAATAGGGTAGACCAGAAGTCTGAGTTCTGTGCTTGAAAATTTACAGACTTTTTAATGCTGCAGGACCTTTTTACCTGTCCCCAGGCCCTGAGTACTCTTCCCTGCCACCCAGCTCTATGCCCTCATGGGTGTGTCTAGTAAGAGATGCAGTGGTTAAAAAGAGCCTATAGCCCAGGTTCTACTATTTGTTATCAGTGAATTCTTTCTCTTTCCGCTTCTGACAAACTGGATGAGAACATTCCCAGCCTCCTGCGACTTTTGGGAGAACTGAGACATGTATAGCCCCACCCTGGCACACAGCAAATATTACGGATGCATTAGCTATGACTTCCCTGCCCGTCACATTCCATCTGTACTGACCTGTCTTTCAGGGACACTGCCCCTGTTTCCTCTGATGAGGTGTACCGCCACTCTCTGCTCCCTTCTTGGATGTTTGCCCTCTCAGGGACCTAAGTGAGTCTTTCAAAGCTGTTCACGTTCTCTCTGATTCTCCTTAATCATCTTCTTCTCTCAGGAACTGGTCCCTAAGGGTTGGAATGTGGGTGATTTTTGACTACCTGGTAGCCCCAGCTAGCACAAGGGCTAGCCTTCTGTAGTGCTGAGCAGAGCGTGGGCTGAGCGTGAGTTACAGGAGATGAGTGTGTGCCACTCCAGTGACATACTGCCTTAGCCCACAGGCCAATGAATGTCTTGTATCTTGTCACATCCCCAGTACCCAGCTACACCTTGCACACAAAAGGTGTCTCATGAGTAGTTGTTGAATTAAAGCATTGTTTTAATGGATTGTCCCCTATTCTCTACTCAGTCCTCCCACGGCCCCTAGCTGCAAGAACATAAACCTGCTGAACCTGGGTCTGTGTCTAGAGCTGTCCCCTCTGTGACCCTGTTGTCAACAGAGTATGTGACGCTGTGTGGCTGCCTACTGGCAGAATGTGAAAGCATAGAGAGGCAGACATTGTGGAGGGAGTCCAGCCATCGTCAGCCCTGGGGTTGGAGCTTTTCCAGGCTCTCCTGAAAGCTAGAAAGTCCAAGAGACTCAAGGGGCATGCAAACCACAAAACTCCAAGAGTGCTGGTCTGGGTAGTAAGAGGGGGTAGCGATGGCAGGGAGGAGGTTTGCAGAGTGGACCCAACAAAGGCTGTAGTGATGTTTTCACCCAAGGACCTGTGCCATAAGCAGAGCTGTCTGGCCTGCACATTTGAAACCCGAGGAAACAGAGGCTGCGATGTCAGCAGTGGCTCTGAGGGAGCAGTAGAAAAGCTAGAATCCCTTATGTTCCCCTATGACGGCAGGCTTAAAGGGTCCAACAGCATCATCGAGAATGTAATTGGAGTTGGAGACATGACTCGGAGGTGGAATCTGACTTTTCTTCCAGGGGACCCAGATTCAATTCCCAGCACCCACATGGTGACTCACAAATGTCCATAACTCCAATTCCAGAGGATCTTCTTCTGGCTTCCAGGGGCACGAAGCATGAATACGGTGCACAGACATCCATTCAGCCAAAGCCCCCATACACATAAAATAAAATAATATTATTATTTAACAGAATATAATTAATGGTTGCTGAAATTCTTATGGATTAAATAAGTAGAGATCTCCACAGAGGGGCTAGGGCCAGAGGTATCTCATGCCATTAGCCCATGCTTTACTGAGAATTTAACCCCCACACTGGGCCAATAACTAGCTTGGGCTGAGGAGAAGTTGCACCCAATCAGCCCAAGATTCTGGAAGATGTGCTGGGAGCCATGCATCTGTGTAAACATCCTGGAGAATTTGGAGCGGGAGTCATTCACATTCAAATGGGGAGGTCAGAATAGAATTCCATGCAAGATATTTTCATTAGATTTCGATTTGACTGCATATGCTGGGAAATTGCATAAATAGAAATGATAGATTAAAAAATTAAAGGCTGATTAGTCATCAATCTGCCCAGTGCCAGGAATCAAGGTCCTCTCTGGCTTTTCTTTCTGTCTCTCCTGTAAGATATCTTTATCGTCATGCCCCATCTAGCTGCTGGAGTACCAGCCATTCTAAGGCTCACATTCCACCAAGGGAGAGAAAGGGAAGAAAAGAAGGATAAGTCCCTCATACGAGGATCATGGAGTCACATGATCGGGGAAGGACCTGTAGCAGGGGGCCAGTAAACCGCGGGTCTTAACTATTTACTGAATGTTCATTTACACTGCTTCGGTCATGTCCACAGCGGAGCTACAGCCCCAGCTTAGGCATTTCCTTTTCCTTGCACATTTCTCCCTTTGTTTAGAACCTCGCCTCACTGAAGAGTTTCTCATACATTTGCCCCCTATGATTTTATTGTGTGCTTTGCTCGCAGAGGTAAGTGATATTTACTATAAGAAGAAAAGTAATTTTTTTCCATGGAAAATAAGCACTGATCCCATACCAGGACTGGGGGCGGGGGTTCTAGACAATTCTTTTCTTTTCCCAATCTGTTTCTGTGGACTGGCTTATTCCGAGTATCGCCTACAAGTGAAACCAAACTCTCTCTCTCTCTCTCTCTCTCTCTCTCTCTCTCTCTCTCTCTTTCTCTCTCTCTCTCTCTCTCGTGTGTGTGTGTTATGTCTGACTGACTAGTTTCTTTCACTTGGTGTGTTTTCAGAGTCAGTCATATTTCACAGTTGTTGAGCCATTCATCCACAGATAGACATTTAGGTTTTCCCTCTTTAGTCTGTTAAAATTAAATATTTCTGGAGAAGTACAATGAACATTCCTATACAAGTATTGGAGGTTTTTGTTGTTGTTGTTTCTGGTTCAGGGAGCAGGACTAGAGATCTGGACAAGGGCTCTACCACTGAGCCACATCTCTTTCTTCCTCTCCTCCACCCCCTCCCCAGCCATGACCAGAGGCGGGGTGTCTCCCTAAGTTATTTGGGCTGTCTTTGAACTCTCTTGTTCTGTAGCCGAGGTAGGCTTTGTCCTTGCAATCCTCCTACTTCAGCCTCCTGACGAACTCAGATTATACACTTGCACCACCAGGCCTTACTCAAGATTAATAGCCTGTTTTCAGTTCTTTGGAGTGTATACCTAAGGATAGAATTGACGAGTGATTACTCTTTAATCGTGGAGGAATTCCAAACTTCAATAACAACTGTACTATTTTTTTTTTTTTGCTTCCCAGCAGCAATACATAAGGGGTTCAGTTTTTCTCATCTTTCCCAACACTGATTTGCCACATTCCCTCTGCAGCCGCATCCTCATGGCTGTGGAGTGGTGCCCAGTTAAGCACCTTCACGTGTGTTTGTTAGCTATGTACATATCCTCTTTGGGGCAATGTCCGCTCAAGTAATTTGCCCGTTTTAAAGTTGGGCCATTTGATTTTTGTTGATGAGTTATAAAATTTATTTCTGTATTTTTAGATTTTATTCCATTTATTGATTTGTGTGGTCATATGCATGTTTGCACATACATATGTATGTGTACATCCACCACCACAGGGTGCATGCCTGTGTGGGTCAGAAGACAGCGTGCAGGTACTGGTCCTCTCCTTCCACTGTGTGAATTCAGTGGACTGAACTCAGGTTGTCAGGTTTGGTGGCCAGGGCTCTTTCTTACCAGCTGAGTCGTCTCATCAGCCCTGACTCTCTGTTTCTAATACTAGGCTTTTGTTGACTGTATGACTCATGAACATTTTGCCCACTCCGGAATCGGTCTTTGTCCTTCCTTGATCACCCCCTCTGAGACATAAAACTTTCAATTTCGAATGATGTTCAAGAGGGTCTCTTTTGTTGCTTGTGGTCACAACAAGAGTCCATTGCTAATCCTAATCATGCTGTTGTTTTCTTTAAAAATGTCTTGGTTTTAATTCTGATAGTCAGGCCACTGATCCATTTGAATTTCACTTTTGCCTATGTTGTGAGGTAGGGTCTGACGTCTTTCTTCTGCATGTGCCTATATCTTGTGACCCAGCACGTGCTGAATAGACATGGTACATTGTTGATAATAATTTACACATATGTGTGACTTTTTCCTGGGCTCTCAATTCTGTTGTGTTGTTTGCTGTGTCCACGCTTACACCAGGACACCATCAGCTTTGTGCTTTGAAATTAGTGAGCCCGAGGTTCCTGATTTTGCTGTTTGGGAGGATTGTTTTGGTTATTTGTGCGCCTTCGCTTTTCCACATAAATCTGAAGATTAGCTTTTCTGATTCTGTGAAAAAGACTTCTGGGATTTTGATGGGGATTACGTTTTAACTGTAAGTTATGTTTTATCTGTAAGTTGCTTTGAGTAATATTGCTAGCTTCATATTATGAAGTTTTCTAATCTGTGAAACCAGATTGTTTTCAGTTATCTCTATTTTTTCTATTTCTTTTATCAAGGCATCATAGATTTCAGTGTACATGGATTTAGACTTTATTCCCAAGTATCTTATTCTTTGGTTATTGTTGTGAACTGCTTTCCTGGCTGCCTTTGCATATTCCTGTTGCTGCTCCATAGAAGCCCCTCTGATCTCATCCTGGGCACCAAATGCTGCTGAATTGATGAGTCCCCGACATCGTTTATTTGTTTGTTTTTCATTTAGGTATGGGTTTTGTCTGGTTGCTTTACTGATTAGTGGTTTATTGGAATGTAGAAGTTTAGACTTTTCTCTGCATTAGAGTATGTTATTTGTAAACAGAAATGTCTTCTTCTGTTTGGGCTCCACCTCTTTCTCACACACGGCACTCACTCTCACTAGAACATCCCATGCGATGCTGATGGCAGCAATAAAGCCGGGTGTCCTTGGTTGTTCCTGATCTTGGGGACTCTTCCCCTACTTCTGTGAGGTCCCAGGTCAGAGACAGTTGTCGCACTGACTCCCTTCTGATCGCCCTACCCCAAAGCAGCACACACATGCCCAGTCATAGACTAAATGAACTGAATGCCAAAGACAGTTCATTTATAGAGAAAAGAAATTTACTTCTCAGAGTTCTAAGAGCTGCGAGGTTTCAAAGCTGGCAGCAGAGGCGCGGTGGGGGTGGCGTTCCTTTTTGCGTGCTAACATGGTGAGGAGAGCAGAGCGACAGCAGGCATGGACACTCAGGTTTCTTTTTTCTTCCTTCTCAAGTCACTAATGCCTTCCCAGGAGCCCAACCTCGCGACTTCAACTCATCCAGATTACCTCCAGCAAAGCTCCCCCTCCACATACCCTTAACAGATAAATTGGGATGAGGTTCCCAGGGTACAAGCTTGGAGGGACACATGCAAAACCTCACGCAGTTTCTCAGAAATGAAATTTCTCGTGATGGTTTTCAAACTTGATTTTTCACAGAAAATTTCTTCTAGGACATATTTCTTCTTAAAGATCTCCATGATCTTCAAAATAAAAAAAAAAAAGAATTCTTTGATTTTGAGTTGTGTTTGAGCAGGAATCTGAGTGTGAGTGCAGGGTCCACCGCAGCCAGAAGAGGGCGTCAGATTCCCTGGAGCGGGAGTTACAGGCAGTTTTGACTCGTGGGAGTTGGGTGCTGAGAATGAGGTCCTCTTCAAGAGCAGTAGCCACTGAGCCTTCGCTCTGCCCCCTCCATGTCTTTTGTAGTAACTTCCGGAATTGTCTGGTACAGACTTTTCTAACAGACTTTACTGGCGGATACACAGTGGCCGCTCTTCTGCCTGCCTCGTTCCTCCTCCGCCCACTTACGAGCACGCCAGACTAAGAACAGAAGGTCCGGTGAAACTAGAATGCAATCGGATCTCTTTCAACCTTTAACAGTCTACAGGTTTTTCTCTTATATCAGAACCTTTTGTGAAGGGATCTCAGGTCCCGCTGTAGCCATGCACCCTGTGTGTTTACAGGAAAGATCTGGGTCCCCAAGCAGAAGCCCATGGATCCCGTGCTGGAGAGTGTGACACTGGAGCCGGAGCTGGAGGAGGCCTTGGCAAATGCCTCAGATGCAGAACTGTGTGACATTGCAGGTAAGCCCAAGGTACAAGCCTGTCTTCCTGAAGGCTTCCCACGCAGAGAGCCTCCTCTGCTTCATTTGAACATTTGAACACCCTCTCTATTTCTAGGAATAGAATAAGATTTTTTTTTTTAAAAAAAAAATATGTTCCCAAAAATCCAAACTAAATAAAACCATTCAAACACGCCCTGTCATGGAACCACCTGTTGTTGCCCTGAGACAGCTCCCTGGGGTATAGGAATGTCATCCAGGGAGAGCCAGGATAAGCCCTGTCCTAGATATACCCACCACGACTGTGCTTTGAGAATGGTTACCTTCATACCTCTTAAGTGCCCCCTTCCGCCCCCATGATGCTCCCCTACCGTCTCCACAAGCAATATACTCCAGAAGGTAATCTGCTATTGCAAACCCTCTGCTGCCCCCATCTCTCCTTACCACTGTAGAGCCTCTGCTCTATGCACCTGGTACCCCATGTCTCTGGGGTTCACTGCAGTCTGCACCGGCACCCCACCTGCCTCGCCCACACTGTGCCCTGGCTCAGCGAGTGAGAGGTGTGGGAGTAATACTGCAGACCAGTGGCGTAGGAGAGGAACGGGGTGATAGGGATGAGCCAGTCGTGAGCGTGGTGCAGGGAGAAGGGCAAGCTGGGCCCAGAGATCGAGTGGGTTCTGTGTCCTTAAGGTAAGGGAGATACTGAGTTCAGTTTGGGACCTGGGGCATCTGGGTTATCTGTGGGCCATCCAGGTGGAAACTGCTCCGCTGTGCGTGATGGCCTAGCATTCTGCAGGAGGTTTCCTTTGGGCATGCTCAGAGTTGCCAGGCTTTAGGAAGAGCATAAGGCAGGTGGAGCCTGGGTTCAGGCATGGAGCAGCACAGGCCTAGCACGGGGCCCAGCAGCCAGTCACAGATGAACAACGACCAAAGGACTGAGTGAAGACAGACAGACTGACGGGAAGACAGACAGATTGATGGTAAGAGAACCAAAAAGGCAGAATGGGGTTTCAGGCTGCCAGAGACAGTGGAACCAAGGCCCAGGCCGGACAGGCTGTATCTGCCTCTGCTTCATCCAGTCCGCGGGCCTCCCGGGATGCTATTTGTGGCTCTTGGTGGCGTTAAGGCAAGAGGAGGGGTCTGCAGATGGCCTTCCTCTTAGCCAGAAGGGCTGTGGGTCAGTGGTTTACACTGCATAGCAGTGGTGACCGCAGGTGGTGGCAGCGAAAGCCAGACTGCAGGGACCTGTGGAGAGACTAGACCGAGCAGGCAGGCAGCCTCTTTTTCCAGACGGCCCCTTTCCTCAGCACCACCTCAGGTGAATAAGGACAAGAGTGACAGGGCCCAGAGAATGGTGTCCAGTCTAAGCAGTGCCGAGAGGCCAAATGGCCCCAACAAGAGCCCAGACGTGCAGCTCAGGAGCCAGGGCCTCAGCGGGTTACGTAAGATGCCAATGGAGCCATGCCAGATCCTTCAGCGTGCCCACATATTTCAGCCACTCCTCTTCCCCCGCAGGTCCCTCGACTCCTGGTTAATCTGTGCAACAGGGAGAGTGGATACCTTGCCCTGCCTGCCTCTATTTCTTCCCCAGGAGCTGTTTTAGTCTGGGGCCTGCTCATCTGAACCCATGCATGACATCATGGCCCTCATGAGGGCACACAGGGATTATTAAATGACTGCTGTCAGAGCGGGCTCCTGTGACTGCCTGAGCCTCAGCAGAGCAGGCCTCCGAGTTGGGCGTCTGGGCCTGCTCTTGGAAACATTTTCCTTGTTGTTGTCAGCACACTGTGGTGATCTGCCTAAGATCCCCAGCCCCGTGATGTCCAGAAAGGAGCAGGAGACTGTGTGTGCATCCCAGTGTTAGCTGACTGCCCCTGAGTGTCTGTCACTGCTTGACTTTAGCCATGACAAGGTGGCAGTGCCTATGGGGAAGGAGGCACGGGCCGTCAGCTGAGTGATAAACATGTTCCAGGTGCTGTGTGAGTGGTTCTCCATACAGCTCTGTATTTATTGACCGTGACAAACCCTGTGAAGTAAATTCTATTATTGTCCCCGTTTTACCCCAAGACACCAGCTGTTCCTAGTGCCGGGTCAGCCACAAGGAGCGAAGAGGATGCCAGGCTTTGTGGCTGTGGGTAAAAAGCAGAGCCGGGCAGTTAGAAGCAAGTTGTCCTGGGTGGCCAGAGGTGTTGGCATGGCAGGCCCACCCATCAGAAAGGGACCGTTTAGTCCAGGAGGGGATAGTCGGACTCCCCAGTATGGGTGGCTTATTGAAGGAAGGAAAGCCTAGAGAAAGGTGAGGGGACCTGCAGCTGCCTCTGGTCGACATGCTGTCGTCACAGGGTGTCTCCACGAACCGGGCCTTCATTAGGTCTCTCCCACATGGCACCAGTTACCCGGAGCTTTCCTACCCACCGTGTACCAGGCTGGGGACTTGGTTCTGGTGAGAAAATATCCGAAGGAAACGGCTCTGTCCGCCCTCGTGGAGCTGGCATGGCACAGGCAAATGAGACATGATCAGCAAGAGTGTCACACTGGGGTGATAAGTCAGGGAGCGCAAGAGGGACACTTGGATTAAAGGGTGGGGTCAGGGGAAAGAAAGGAAGACAGCTAGGGGTGAGGTAGAGAAAGTGGGGTAGGAAAGAGGAAGTTCCAGGATGGGGCCCTCGGGCACAGTGGAAGCTCCCATCCCGGCCAGGGACGTGCTTCTTTATGTAGCAGCCTCAATATCTGGAACGGTCAGGAGCTTGTGGGAGACCACAGAGTGGGAGACACACTGACCCAGGGGTGGCGGAAGGAAGGCGCGTCACTGACAATCCATGAGCTTCCTCACTGAGTTGATAGACATTGTTGGAACCCCTGTCTTTGCTAGGCTGCATGAGGTACAAGAAGTGCTTGGGAGGACAGGCCAAAAGTATGTAGGTTTCAGTCTGAAACAAGTCCCCACAGGGTGCTCAGTAGAGCTCATGGGCCTCTGGCGATGCAAAGGTCTTGGCCTCTGGCCTATGACTTTAGCTTCAAGGCCACTAAACTAAAGGGGGTCTGTTGTCTTCCGCACTTTTCTGTGGATACCCGAACCTCGAAACAGGCGCGCGCTTTCCTGACCCGAGCCCACGAGAATGGACAATTGTCCTAGGGGTTTGAACAGAGACGACACACACACAAAGAGACCTGGCTCATCTGCCAAGGAGCAGCGGCAAATGGCCGCTTTATTAAGCATCAGTCGGATATATATACTGTGGGGCAAAAGGACACCAGCCCCCACCAGGATCAAGGAAAAGGAGAAGTCAGGGATCCACACCCAAGGTCGGAGAGCAGCAGACGAGAGAAAAGAGGAAGCCACGTGGGCGTGCCAAGGTTCAGGGACGAGCTGACCCGGGAACCTTGCCTGCGGCGAGAACCTTGCTTGCAGGTGGAACTACCACAACGGTTAAGGGAGAGTTCTTTCTAAGCTACACCTTTGGGCCGTAGGCAAAACTGACAAAACAGGAGAAGGCAGTTCTATGCCACGCCTTCAAGCTGATGCAGTGGAACCAGGAAGCAGAACAGCCCTGCAAAGCGTCTCGGATAAATGGGGAACCTGTGCACCTACAAGGTCGGCAGCAAGCTCTTGAGATTATCATTGCCTCCCACACTCGCTCTGGGATTTGGTCCTAGCTGGCCTTTAGAAACCCTTGCAGTAGGACAGGAATGAGGAAAGGAGTGGGGTGAGAAGGCCCAACCTTTGGAGAGAGCACCTACTCCCCAAGGGGAACTGGCTAGCCTTTACTAGGCTGTCTCTTGGTCCTCGGTGGCTTCATTGTCTTTACACACCCAAACTCTTCTCATTCCAAAACTGTCAGGGGATGTGGCTTTTCTAGGAACAGTTCCCCAGCACCAAGTCCAGAGCCAGGTTCTGTGCCTGCGCCTGGGATGCGAGAACACACCTCACAGCCCTCTACCAGGACCCCTTAAGCCTGTAGCAGCTGGAGGAGCCGGGGATGTGTGCCGTGATCACACTGCATCCTGAGCGGAATTACAAATGGAAGGAGCCCTGCCAAGGCAGAGAGGAAACAGAACTCAATGTTCTTTTTCAGAGTTCAAAAATAGTCCTTTTCGAGTTTTGAGGAAGATCTAGACTTAAAAAAAAAAAAAAAAGGAAAGGAAAAAGAGAAAGAAAGAAAAGAAATCAAGTCTCTTGGTGCTAAAATCAGCCTGGCTGAGATCTACAAAGAAGGAAGCAACACAAGATGTCAGGGGAGGGGTTTTCTTGGTAAGGCTCACTCTTGGTGACTATGCCTACGAGCTGGGGGTGGGGAACGGGAGAGGCCACAGTAGCCCCAGGCTGGTGGTGGCCATTTGGCTTAAGCCACACTCTCTCCTTTCTCCTTTCCCTCCCCTCTCGTTCTTTCCTTCTCTCCAGGAACTCTAATTTCTTCCTTCTGCGTCCTCCTATCTACACATACCATCTCTCCTATGTTGTTAGGCCTAGAATTCTCCAGTTGAGGGGACCATTTTAGACTTTAGAACTCTTAGTAGCCCAGCAGACACAGTACTGCCTTATATACTAGGAGCCTCTCTGCTGAACCACACAGCAAATCTGTTAAGTGTGAGGAGGGACATTCGACAGCACCACGGGGATGCTTATCCTAGAACACCGAACAGGCTAAAACTGGGAGCATGGTTGTCAGGTTGCTCCCATGGAAAGGTAAGAGTTCAGCATTCACACATATGCAGCTTTCCAGCTGCAAAATCCAGGGAGACCAAGGAGGAAATGACCTCTACAAGGTCACTCGAAAAAGTAGCAACAACCCAAGGCTCTTAACTCTTGGTCCCTCACACTCCTCCGCACCCCTCTCTAACCCATCACAGGATGCGGGGATTCAGGCAACACATATGTTTTCCATTTTTATTTTTATTTACATATCTCCTTCCCCTTCTATGTGCTCTGAACCGAGGCAGTGCATTTCATATGATCCCAACCTTGGCGAACCTGAGACCTCCGCTGTGTGGGGGCTGGAGCACCTCTCTGGAAGATGAGTCTCCGTGACGTGACTCACCTGCTGCTGACTCAGCCTCCGCTCCCTCAGCCCACGGGGACACAGCCTAAATTAAAACCTCGAGAGCTGGAGAAGCAGCAGCTGTCTCTCCCCAGCCCTCCTCAGGGATGAGCCGATGAGCCGGCAAGGCTAATTTTAGCAAAGACTCCTAGGGGCGAGAAACAGAAGGGACTTTGAGATCATCTCTTCTGTGGTTCTCAGTTCCCATTTGGGGTACCAAAATCACCTCAAGGATCCAAGCATAGCTGTACGTTCCTGTAATCCCAACACCTGAGAGGCTGAGGCAGGAGGATTATGAGTTCAAGGTCAACCTAAGTTACATAATAAAAAGGGGAAAGAAAAAGACATGCAAAGATATTGCACCCCTCTGTCCAGGAAGGAGGTGGATATTGGTGTTTTACAGCCCCAGGCAGTCTGCACATGCAGCCAGAGTGAGGGTCTTACATCACCCCTGGCTGGACACAGGCAGCTGAAGCCAAGAGAGAGGAGTGGCTTGCCCAGAGTGGCACTGAGAACATAGTCAGAGCCAGAACTTTATCTGAGTCTTCTTAAGGCCTGCCATGTTCTCTCTCCACACAGAGAACATATCTACTGAAATGTCTTAAAAATTAAAAAAAAAAAGGTCGTCAGATATTTGCCATATGTCTGCTACATTCTAGAAGAGACGGGAGAGCAGTGATACTCTTCCTTGACCCTGGGGAGCCCCGGCCCAGCAGAGAAAGCACACAGGTGTCCTGGAACCACCTTTGTTCTGAAGTACATTGTGGTGTAGCAAGGACACCTGCTACTGAAAGAGAGGGGAGAATCTAAGGAACCTCCCTGGAGGAGGAAGAATCTCACCAAGTCTTGGAGTAGTGGAGGTGGGGATAGCTAAATACAATATAGACTGTCCAGTTGAATTTGAATTTTTTTGCTTGTTTTTTGAGACAGGGTTTCTCTGTGTAACAGCACTGACTGTCCTGGAACTCACTCTGTAGACCAGGCTGGCCTCGAACTCAGAGATCCGCCGGCCTCTGCCTCCTGTGCTGGGATTAAAGGTGTGTATTATCACCACCTGTCTGAATTTGAGTTTTAAATAAACAGCAAATAACTTTTTAGTGGAATCTGGTGGAGCAGGCTTGTGATGTCAGCTCTTTAGGAGGCTGAGACAGGAGGATCAACATTCAAAGTCAGCCTTGGTTACAGAACGAGTCCAAGACCAGTCTGAGCAATGTAGTGGGATCCTGCCTCAAAATAAGAAGTAAAAAGAGGGCCAGGAGTGCATCTCAGTGGTAGAGCACTTATCCAACATGGCACAAGGTCCTGGGTTCAATTTCCAGACCTGGAATGAGGCCTACAACTCTTGAATAACTGATCTCAAATGTTGAACAGGGCATATTTATGCTAAGGAATTATCATGGACCCAAAGATCATTTCTGGCCCAGGGCACATGCTACTCAGGCAGAGGGGGTGTCACCACCCTTGTACCTACCACTTATCCAGCCCAACCTGTTCCTCTTCTCTGTCTCTCCCGACCTCCAAGTCCACTGCCCTGCTTCTGTCCTTTGCCACCCACCATCCCTACCATCAGGAACATTCTTTCTTCCTTATTTTGACGTAGCCAACAACTGGTCACCCTTCCCTTCCCGAGTCCTTCATTTATGCTCTTCCAGGATGCACTGAAATGTCCTTTGCAACACTTGACACCTCCTTGCTTAGGGTTTTAAGAGTGTAGGCCCCTGCTCAGCTCTGCTTGCTCCCGATAAGTTGTAAGCTACATGAACAGAGCCCCATGTTCAGTCCCCCAGAGCCGGCACACAATGAAGGCACCCAGTAAATGCCAAAGAAGTGAATGAGTGAAAGAATAGCCACGCATGTAGTAATGAAGTTGTCTTGACATTTCCAGAAAGAACTTTCTGGCTGTTCTTTGTTGAATGTTGGGAAGTAGAAAGTAGGGAGAAATGAGAGCCAGACCAGCAATTCCACAGGCCCATTAATGTAGGTGCTTCTCCACTAACAATGGGGCAGTGATCTGATGACCCCATGTAAAATGAAAATGTAAGTAAAATTGCATTTGATACCCAGCTGAACACAGCAGCACACCAGTTTGAGGGTGTCGCCATCTTGTTTTTCTCTCCGGGTGGTGGTCTAGAATCCTGAATACCTTATCAGATGTCAGTAGTCTAGGAAAGGAGCAAAATATAAATCAAAGCCCTGTTTCTACCAAAGCGCATCACTTTCAGGGCCATCATAAAGTTGAAAAAGTATAATGGGACAATTGTAAGTTGATGGCAGCCAGAAAATAGTAGATCTTCAACCAGAGCAGAGGTTCTAGCAAGGGAGGTGGGACAACCTGAGAGACCCAGGGAGGTCAAACGGGCCCGAAGAACAGGGCAGAAGATGGAAGTACACTCCCTGAAAGAGATTCTTGCTGGAAAGACTCGTTCTGTTGGGGCACAATGGGTTGAGTGAGTCTGTGGGTCTTCAAGGAGACCTGGGAACCAGAACCAAAGGGAGGCCTGGGGAGGGGGCAGTCTAAGAGCCACATGAATGAGATCCAGGATGAAGGTGACTCACGGTTTTACAGTCTCGTGTATATGTTTCTTACCATGCTCCCAGCATGTGGAAGATGGGTGCCCAGGGGGCATCTCTGTCTGCAAGAACAGAATCATGGACCCCCCCCCCTTTGTCCCCACAGCTATCCTGGGCATGCACACGCTCATGAGCAACCAGCAATACTACCAGGCCTTGGGCAGCAGCTCCATCGTGAACAAGGAGGGACTCAACAGTGAGTACACAGCCCTGCTTGGCTGCCATCCCCTGCCCTTGCGGGGCCCTGGGACTGGCTCACAGAGGATGCCTTGAAAGAGAGGCGCCTTCTCCTGCATCTTCAAGCCCATGCTCCCCATACTCCGGCTTGTCGCGTTTTACGCAGGCAGATCTCTTCATCGCTTCCTTTGAGTCCGCTGGGATTTTATGTCTCGTTCACAAAGCCCCCTTCATCTCAATGCCACGTTTCTTCTAAAGGTTTTAGAGATTTGCTTCTTATGTTCGGTGCCTTAATCCTCCCCGAGTGGGTTGTTGTGCGTGTGTGCTGGGATGAGATGCCTCTGTGTTGTTTGCCCAAATGCGTGTGTACCTGGGGACGCTGTACCAGTTGCTCTCCGCCTTATTCCTTGAGACAATCTCTCAGTGAACCTAGAGCTCACAGATTTGGCTAGACTGGCTGATTGGCCAGTCAGTTCCTGGGGTCCCCTGCCTCCACCTCCCCAGTGCCAGCATTATAGGCGCAGGCTGCTGCACCCAGATTTCTTTGTCTTTTCTAACATGGAATCTGGGGATGGAACTCAGGCGCTCGTGTTTGCGAGATGAGGACTTTACTGATCAAGCCCCCAACTTAACAATTTTAATGGAGATCTATTTTTCCCACATAATAGTCTTTGAAAAATGTGTTCCTTACCACTCTGTGGGGGCTCTTTCTTTCTCTTCAGTTTCTGCTGTTCTTCTCTGTCCCATGAGACCCTTTGGCCTTTGGGCCCATGTCACATTGTCTCAATTATTTGACTGCATCATTCCAAGCTGACATTTTGGACCCAAAGAGAAATGAAGGTGCCAAAAGAATTAGCATCCTTTCTTTTGGAAGAGAACTCTGTTTCTTCCCAGCCCCGACCTCGTCTTCCCGTCCTAGAAACCCACTGTGATAACAAGCGTGGCAGCAATACCACCCCCACTGAACAGACAAGGACTTGAGAGTCAGAGTGTTCAGGTCTCATAATGACTCAAAAGCAGCGTCCAGGGTTACCCAGACCTTCCTCCCTGACTGCTTCCGACCTATCCCAGCCCCTGGTACCCTCTATAATATGCTGCCTCCCATATACTCTGAACTCAACCAACGCTTTCTCTCAAGGAGTCCTTATGTTGGAAGAAAGTGACCCCTGTGTTTCTGGGAGCCAGCTCCTTCTTATCCATCACTCTAGGTGTGATTAAACCGACACAGTACAAACCTGTGCCCGATGAAGAACCAAACTCAACAGATGTAGAGGAAACGCTGGAGCGGATAAAGAACAATGACCCAGAACTTGAAGAAGTTAATCTCAACAATATCCGGGTAATGTCCTGCTATTTTAGTCCAAGTGTATTGGGAGTAGGTGTTTTCAGTAGGGGGGCTACGTCTTGACAGACAGATAGGTGCCAGCAGTCTAGGCTATATAGATCAGCAGGGTCCTATCTGGACCTGGATATGTCTGAATCAGAAACAGAGACAAGCCTTGACATATGGGAATACTTAAGGGTTGGCCAGTGTCAACAAGCAAGTCCCATAGTCCTGGTTTCTCTCAGAGGACAATTACAGGCCCAGAAGTCCACCAGAGGCCAATCCAGCTTTGATCTGGATGCCTGCCATGTTGTGCAAAAACACAGAGATTCTCTGTGTTAAAATTGTGAGTCAGAACCACATTGCAGCACAGAACTTCAAGGCTGGCAAAGCCCCGTGCCTATAAGACTCATGGTGGTCACAAACCCCAGGCAGGCACTGCCCCTGAGGTATCCCTGGTCCCTCAGAATCATGCTCATATTCAATCTCATTTTACAGCCAGGGAAGGAGATGTTGGTACAAGTGCCCGAGCTATGTGCCATAGCACTGTGGCTACCGGTGCAGGGTACAGGAGGAATGTGGAAGCAGGCCCAGCTGCCTGCCCACCTGCTCTGTGCTGAGGCCCCAGGATTAGCTGTGAGAGGGTGGGGGAAAGAATGGAAGCCAGCCCCTTGCTCCTGCTCTTCTTTCTTCTCGGCTTTCTTCTCAGTGATTGCCAGTCCCAAGCACAATCAGATTGAAAACCTGCACCCCAGTTTTCTCCTCCACCTGGCTCCTTATTCTTCTCCCACGGGGGCTTAGGTGACACTTGGAAATGAGAGCTCTGGGAAGCATAGCCCGTTCTCTCTTGGTGCCTCCATTGTCTGCCATGTGAGCGTCGCTAACACAATCCAGACTTGTGTGTTCTAGGTGGTGACAGGCCCAAGTGACGGGACTTCGTTAGGAGGCCTCAGCCAAGGGCTTGAATACCTCCAGGTCTCAGTTTCTCTTCTATACCTGGAGGCAGTTGGACATAGACCAGTTTTCATCTGTTGAGATTAAAAAAACATACACTAATACCCAGGTGTTCCTCTGAGGTTCTGTGTGTGATGGTGTGGAGCTGGCCTGTACATTGGCATGAGAAACTGTCGTCAGGACCCAGACATGAGGCAATGCTAAGACCCGATCCTTTGGGACAGATGTCTCAGAGAGCATTCTGTCTTTCAGAGACCCAAAGAGGGGAACAGAATCCCCCGACGTCACGCAGCCAGTCAGACATGCTGCCAGTCACTGGGTGGTCGCCAGAGTCCAGCCCTGCCCTTCTCCCAGTCTTTTGTAAATATTCCTCTCAACTTCAGGCACTGAATGCTACCTTTTCCTGAGCCTCCCATGCATGGAAGAGAGTTGCGGTTCCTATCTGAAACTTTCAGGGTTGATTTTATCTGTCTGTGTACTGGGGAATCCTCAGTGTCTTAGCCCTCTGTCCCATGGCCCATTCAGAGATTTGCTAGAAGCCAGGCTGCATTTGGGAGAGAGCTACTGTCCCCTCACCTCTGTAAGCCGCCTGGCCCCATGACCCATGCAGGGCTGCTGCTCACTCTCCTTTCCTTTTCTCTGTAGAATATCCCCATACCCACCCTCAAGGCCTACGCAGAAGCCCTGAAAGAGAACTCCCATGTGAAGAAGTTCAGCATCGTGGGGACCCGCAGCAATGACCCTGTGGCGTTTGTATGTTCTGACCTCTCCCCTCTGCTGTGTAGCTCACTGGGCACTCAGGCCTGGTCCCACTGATGAAGAATCCTACTGTGGCATGGCGAGGGGACTCAGCTAGGAGCCAGGGAGGGACGTATATGGGACAGCCCTCAAACAATGCCCTCTTCTCATCCCAGCTAATCCTTGCAACCCCCGTGCTCTCAGAAGGGTGGTGGGTCTCCAGGGAGGATAGGCAACGGGCTTTGTCCGAAGTCACGCCAAAAGAGAAAAGCAGACCTGGGATCAAACAAAGTCACATTGACACCTACAGTTGGTCTTTCTCAACCCAGCACTTCACGCTCAAAACTCCTCCCCTTCCTGGGCTCAGCATCTCCAGCTCCCACATCCCCGTCTTTGCCAGACAATCCCAGCGACCGGTTTTACTTTTACTGCCTAAGCAGCTGGGTACGGGGATGTGCACACCTGTAATGTGGCATTAGGGAGGTGGAGGCAGGAGGATCAGAAGTCTGAGACTATCCTGGGTTCCATGGGGCTCTGTCTCAAAATACAAACAAATTAAAAAAAACATTGTTTACTCAAAGTAAATTGTACTTACAAAGTAACTGTTAGTTCTTTTTTAAAAAATATTCCATACAAATTTCTTGACAGTCTGTAAATAATGCTGAGTTAGGCTCTGGAAATCTGCCTGTAACCAGTCTTATATCCCACATTCATGATTGTAGCCATAGTTGGAGCTTGAAGGCAGCCAGAAGTTCCAGCATGGTGAGGTGCAGGGGTAGGAATTAGCTTCCCAAGGAGAGTAGGTCGAGGAGTAGTAGGAATCAACCCTCTTCCATTTCTAAAGTAGGTGAGACTGATTCCTGCAGAGGCTTTTGAAAGAACTGAATGAGCTCCCAGTGGGGGGGCAGAGGCAGTTCACAGGCTGCCAGCGTGGGAACTTCTAGATAAATGACCCCTGACTGACCTCGATGGTTCCCAAGTCTGTCTGTAGTGACTTAGCTGGCGACACCCTGTGTGCTACTTGTTCATGGATCAGAAGCAAGGCACGGCCATGCTGGCACTTAGCTCCATGCCATGGATGGTTTGGGGGCATGGACTCCGTGCCAGGCTGACAGCTGGTGGCAGGCCCTTTATACCTGCATACCTATCACCAAGTGCTGAAATGCTTCTGGTCTGCTGCTAGACCCGGTGCCAGAGCCCTGCAGGTCCCACTGCCTGCCTGCCTGGCACTCTCTCCTACCCTCTGTTCCTCTTTTGTGACCCATCACCCAGGATTTGACACGTAGCATGACAGGGTTTCAGGGCCTCCCAGTTAGCTCATGGCCTGGCACACCTGCCCACTGGTTGTTAAACTGGGTTGGTGGTTAGGTCAGGTCAGGTTGGTTAGGTTAGGTCAGGGAGAGGGTGTTGCTGGTGAGGCTCAGGGAGGCCATCCTACACAGGTCGGGAACAGCCATTGGTCATAGAGAAGCTGACACACCACCTCTTGGCATGCTGGACTGCGGGAGCTAGGGGAGGAAAGCGGACAGCATGAAGGCTCTCTGGGAGCTGGGCCTCTGGCAGGGTTCAGCAAGCTGGGGAGCACAACAGGGCAGCCTTTCCTGGCATCGCTTCTGACTCCCTGGCACACAGATCACAGTGTCCCAGGTCTCTCGGATGCTGGTATCTTCTTTCCCCATGACGCATAGTTTCCCCCAGCTGCTAATTACCTCATTTCCTTCAGAGGCTCCGATTGTCATCTACACCCCCTGGCTAGAACCCTCTCAAACGTGCTGAGGGCCATCTGAGCTGTACTAGGCAAGCCAGCCCTGTACTCTCTGGGGCTCAAAGACCATGGTGACATTTCAACAGGGCTGTAGAGAAGACAAGTCAAGCATCCACCGGGGATTTGGAGACTCACCAGGGGCCCTGGTGGTCATTGTTTGATGGCCTACTGTGTGCTGGACACTGTGTGGTTAAGATGGGCGGTAGTGGGGCGCGCCTTTAATCCCAGCACTTGGGAGGCAGAGACAGGCAGATCTCTGTGAGTTTGAGGCCAGCCTGGTCTACAGGGCGAGTTCTAGGATAGGCCCCAAAGCTACAGAGAAACAATGTTTCAAAAAAAACCAGACAAATAAATCCAAAATAAACAAAAGAACAAAAACAAAAGAGATATTAAGTCACATTTTCAGCCCATGGAGGGGTGTGAGACCCTAGGGAGATAGCTCAGTCAGTAAAGTGCTCACCCTACAAGCATGAGAACCTGGGCACCATATCGAAAACTGGGTATGTTGGCTCACTTGTAATTATAGTGCTAGAGAGGTGGACACAGGAAACCTCTGAGGTTCCCTGCCCACCAAATATAGACTAACTGGTGAGCTCTAAGGTAATGAGAAAGATGCTCTCCCGAAGGATGATGGTATTTATGAAGATGACATCATGAGTTGTCTTCTGACCTCCGCATACACATACATATACCTGCACATATATGAGCATACACACATATGAGTATGAACACATACACATGCCTGCACATACATGAACACGCACACACAGACACACATGCACACAGACACATGCACATGCATACACAAAATAATAACAAATAGAGACTTGAGTGAAGGAGATGTGGATAAGTTCTGAGGTCACAGGGAGCAGGCCCTGGGTAGCTGGGATGTCAGCAAAGCTCTTGGAGCCAGAGGCATTGAGAAAGGCCTTGAAGGATGAACAAGACTTAGCCAAGTGAAACAGAACTTTCCAAGTGGTCAAAAGAAGCAGAGAAAGGCTAAGGGGTGGGAAGGCACTGAGCATGTGCAACAAACCCAGAGGGCCAAGACTGCACAGGGAAAGAGAAGCAGGTCCAGAGGTCTCTGAGTACTGATGAGCGATCTCCCCAAATGGGTGTTCGGGGGCCATGGCAGGTTGCAGGAGAGCAGACATGGAGGCATGCTTTGAAAGGTAGCTCCAGGGACTGCCTGGATCTCCTCCAACCTTGCCCAGGATAGCTCACAGGTCCTGCTTTTCCCCTGAAGGCACTTGCCGACATGCTGAAGGTGAACAAGGTGTTGAAGACACTGAACGTGGAATCCAACTTCATTTCTGGAGCTGGGATCCTGCGCCTGGTGGAAGCCCTCCCACACAACACCTCTCTGGTGGAGCTGAAGATTGATAACCAGGTGAGTCGGGTGGGGTCTTCACCTGCCCGCTGCTGCTGGTGGAGCAGAGGACACTGGTGGCAGATGTTCTAGAGCCCACTGCGAGCCACCTCCAGGTGTTGCTGTCCCAACCCCCCGCCGCACTACCTTCTTTCCAGCGCTGTCAACTTCATCATGTGCCCATGAGTCACGGTGGGAACCCACGCCTCAGCTCCAGCCTTGGCCCATGGCTTTGAGAATGTCCTTATTTAGACCCAGAGCAAAGGAACTTACTTCTAAGCCCTGTGTGTCACCTCAGTCGTTCTGTTGAGGAGCCTGAGACATGGAGGGCACAGATCCCACAAGCCACGGGGCTCTTCACCAGTGACACCCCCACTCCCCTCTGTCCCCGCGTTTGAGGTGACTTTGAGTCTCCTCCACATGGCACCTCCTCTCTCTTCATCCCACAGAGATCCTGCTTCTCTGGCTTCCATGGTCCAGTCAGTTCTTTGTGGGCAACTCTTTTGGTCTTGGTTGTCTAAGAGAAAGTTAACAACCGGAACTGCACGTGGCAATAGCTTGGCTGCTGGACAGTTGCGGGTTGCTGTTGGGGGTGGGAGGCTCAGTGCTGCCGTGTGCCCAGCATCTCTAATCTTCATCACCCACTGTAGGATGCGGGTGTGGTCAGCCTCTGCCAAAATAGGCCAATAGAGGGGTAACTTCCTCAGGGTCACACTCAGCACTCAAGAGGCAAGATTCAAATCCACAGCTCCCCAACTCCAAAGCCCACTCTCTATCCATGACTGCGCATTGCTTCCTATACTAAGTCACTATCATCTTTATAGACAGGGAAGACTGAAACTTTCTCAGCACTAGAAAATGTGGCTGACAGGCTGTGTATGTTTGTATGGAGAGAAAACTGGGCGGGGGGGATACTATGAAATTATTGTGCCCAAGCAAGACCACAAGTTACTTTCTTCTTGTAAGATGTGGCAGACAGAAAGTGCCTAGAATAAAAATGAGCAGATTAATTATAATGGGCTTGTGAGTCTGTCACAGTCAGAACTAAGCATCATCCACTTCCAGAGGCCTCATCCTAGACATGGCTTTTAGAAACTTCCCAGCTTGCTTCCTGTCTCTGCTCCCATGCTATAGACTTCTGGAACATCCTATGCCCGGCCTGCCCATTCCCTGCCTAGAAAACCCTCCTCTTGCTTCAGGTGACTTTGTGCTGCATGGGGTGTGCTAAAGCATCCTGGGCCAGCATAAAGGGCTATGTGCGTTCTCTGCCTGGCTGCACCTCAGTGATACACTTGGCTTTCAATTGCCTGGGCTAACAGGAGTGTAGCTGATGGGAAGTGCAGACACTACATATAAGTCCCTCCCTCCCTCCTTCCTTTTCTCCCTTCCTCCTTCCTTTCCTCTCTCCCATTTGGTTTTTGAGAGTCATTATACCCCTGCCTTCCCTGCTTAGCCTCCACAACTCCTCCAAGCCTTGCTGCCCAGACAGAGTTAGCTGTTGTGGTTCCCCGGCCCTTCAGCATCCACAAGAACTCCTCAGAGCTAGGTGCTCCCCCAGTGGTCCCCCTGCCCTCAGTAGTCCCAAGAGCTTCTCAGAAGATGGTGCTGTGTCGGAGTCTTCTCCTTATCTCAGTGCCCAGCCCGGTACCTGGGCCTCATGGGTACCTGGTAAGCAAACTTGTCACGGATGGTTACGCTGTTCACTGCAGAATGAGAGGGGGCAGAGAAAAACTCTGCAAGCTGTGTGCTGTAGAGAGAGCATGTTTCTAATGTATAGAAAGAGTCTGCATCGGTCAGCCGTCTTCCTGACTGAACTTGCTGCTGCACTGGGCTGGGCATCTTTTATACGCTGGTAACCTTGGTGCTACATTGACCCTGACCATCTCTGCCTTGTCCCTTGACCATTGCTGACCCTGATCCCCTGAAGGTGGGAAAGGCAGAGCAGGTGGATCACAGCCTGCAACAGCACCCTCCCTGCCAGCCTGGCTATTCTTGTGACTTCTGTCCTGGTCAGGAAGGAGTCAGATCTTCAGCTGAAATTTGACTCCCAGGGCAGCCCCTCAGCCAAGTGGTGGCTGATGTCAAGCTTTCCACCTTCCCTGTTCAGCTGTATTCCACCTGTGCCCCCGGGGCATTAGAGACTTTGTGCTGACCATTGCCTTCACCCTGGCCAAACAGCCCAGTGTAAGAACATTCACTGCCTGGCCTCAGTTTCCCCTCTTGTAAATGAGAATAATTAACCACTGTCCTAAGGTGGTTACAGATCTGGAGACCGACACCATTGGTGACTTTGAGGGTCACTATGTAGGATGTGATCTCACACACCACCCAGAGGGTGAGTGTCCACAGGACACATGCTGGCTGCTTTGTGTCCCTGGTTCCATTCTGTGCTCACCCTGTAAGTGACTCTGACTGCCACACGGACTGTCTCACCTGCCTCGGGTCACGGAGTTAGTGACCGAGGAAGATCCTGGCGCAGGTGTATATGACTCTAAAGCCCACACATGGTGTCTGTTGGGGTTCTTGAAATGACTGGTTTCGTGAGCCTAGCCTGGCCTTTCTCTTCCTCATTCCCTTGGCCATGCTGGGCTCTGCTAAAGCGAGGCTCCAATTGAGTCTTCTGGGAAGCCACACTGGGTAGGAGGGGAGACAGGAGCAGAAATGACCTTTGCATCAGGTGCTCTTGTAAGCCACAGATGGGTTAGAAGTGGGTGAGGTCCAGTGGAGGGGTCAGCCATAGTCAGGAGCAGGTCAGGGCGGGTGTCAGGGAGAAGGCGACAGTGGGGTTAGCCCAGAGAGTGTATCAAAGGGAAAACGGAAGTCAGGGTACCCAGAAGAAAAGAAAATAGAAGAAAGGGAGAGCTCGGAGCCCATCTAGGCAGGACTCTGGGGGCTCAGAAGAAGCCTGTGGGGATAAAGAAGCAAAGGGCCTTGTGGGTAACCCTGTAGGTTATGCTCTGACAGGGTGGCTCCTGGCTAGACCAGTGAAGAGAAAGCTAAGGATAGGAGGCCAGCAGAAGCTACAACCAAGACTTCTGGTTCTGGGGTGATACTCCTGCCTAAGTGGGGGCCTCAGGCTGCAATGGGGCCTGGTGGGGAGGGGCTGAGTGGATGAAGACTGTGGTTGAAGGCTTCAGGTTGGGGGTTTCCCTGGCCCAAGCTCAGTGAAAGGCCATGCATGCGTTGCAATGTGTCCTGGGAGGTCTGGACACAGTTGTCTTCTCGTGGTGACCTGGGTAAAAGGGAGGGGCCAGGAGGAGGTGACAAGTGGCATTGATTTATTCCTCCTCCTTGGTTTGTCACCAAGGTCCTTGAAGGCCAGAGTGTTTGCCTCAGTCCTTGGAATTGCAACCTGTGTTGAGAGACTCTCCCTCTGTCTCCTTTTACGGCCAAAGAAAGGGACTTGGGGCATTCTACACAGGGTGACATGGGTTCTGAGGCAGTTTGTTTACTAAGTGCTTCCCGTTATCTCCAGGCAATGTTCTGCTTCTGCCCAAAACTGCCCTAAATCCGACAAGGGTGGGGAGCAGCCTCGGGCCCTGAGCCGGCCTGAAAAGCTCTGAGAGTGGCCGACCAGTTTTCTTTGCAGTGAGGAAACTGAGAAGGAGGGGACCTGCTTTAGTCAAGGCCATTGTCCAAGACAGAGCTGGGTTGGACTGTCAGCATCCTTGCTACACGTTGGAGAGGAGACACCCTATCTGGCCCATGAAGTAGGCTCTAACCCCAGGGTGCTTAGAGATCCCCATCCCCAGCCGTATCACCTGCCCCCAGCCCTGCTCTGCTTTCTTGAGCCTCCTCTTGCTTCCCAACAGTTTTGTGCCCAGCAGTCCCTCCCAGTCCTTCCGAGTCCCTTGGAACAGATAAGACCTGGAAACACGACCCTTCCAAATGAGGATGTATCCGCCATCTGGGCATATTGATTACAGTCCCCCTTTTCCCTCCCCTGTGTGACAGGGACGCTGCTTGATGTTTTGAACAGAAGCCACAGGAAGTGGATTATGCATTCATGTTGTTTTTCCAAGTTAATTTGTTTGTGTCTGGTTTTTCTCTAATTTAACGCTGTCTGGGAGCATATTTGTTATCTATAGTTATGTAACAAATGACCCCAAGGCTTAGCCTCAGAGTTCTGGGATAAGCCAATACTCAGCAAATTTGCTCAGTTTCTGAGTGACAAGAATCCAGGACAGCTGAGCTGGCTAACTTCCTCCAGCACATGTAATTCAAGGCAAAGAAGAAAGTTCCAACTCCCTCTGATGGCCAACCTTGAAACCTGAACAAAATCTACTCTGACATTTTCTTTTAGAGATAAATTGATAGGCACAGTGCGTACACACACAGGAAGGAGGTGGACTAGGCTCTACCTTTTGAGGGAGATATACCAAAGAATTTTTTAGGGAGATATACCAAAGAATTTTTCAGATCTATTTTTAATAATTCTTTGATGATTTCAGAAAATATATTGTGATCATATTCACACCTATCTCCTCCGGGGTTCATTCTCTACCTCCCTGCCCACTTTGCTTGTTAATAAAACATAACCTAGTGGAACCCTCTCTCAAAACAAAACAAAACCCATGGACGACACCATTCAAGAAAACTGCCTCTCCTCCCTTAGATATCAACTGTCAATAGCTCCTTAGCTAGGGGAGGGACTTGTGAGTCCCCCCTCCTCCATGTTAGAATGCTGACTGGCTTAGTTTTGTGTAGGCTCTGAGTTCACGCTGCAGTGGTCCTGCCATGCCCAGAAGATGCTGTTTTGCTCCAGTCTTCCCTGACCTCTGGCTCTTAGGATCTTTCAGCTCCCTCTTCCATAATGGTCCTTGAGTCTTGGGGGCACAGCACCAAATGAATGTCCCAGGTGTGACCGAGCGCTTCACTGACATTTATTCTCTGGACTTGGGTTCTAAGTTTCTGCATTAGCCACCATCTATTGTAAAAAGCGACATCTCTGCTGAGGTATGAAGGCTGTACGAACATACGGGTAGGAGGACACAAGCAGGGAGGGCAGTTGATGCTATGTC